AGTTGCAAAAAACCAGACCCGACAAAAATCTTGGAGCACCTCATGCTAAAGTAGGAATTGTCACGCGCTGTCCTGTGTTCGGACATGAGATTGTAATATTCTGGTCTGCATTGTGGTAGTTCTTGATGACACTTTCTGTAAGAACGTTGAAAGGGCGACCTAATAAAATGTCGTAGGCTGCAGTGCGAATAACATGAATCTGAAGATAGACAACAATGTCGGCGACTTGGAATGCGACATTGTGGACTAAGCCGAGTGAAGGATCAACTTCTTCATTAGCTGATTGCATGTTCAGATGAATAATTGGGTCATATGCGAGCCCTAGAGCATGGCACACTTCTTCCGACATTGTGACAATCTGGAAACCTGGGTTGATGATGCTCTCTATTCGCTTCTTGTTATCGACAAGGCCCCCAAATTGATCGCAAAGCATGAGACTCCTTTGTGACTATAAGAATCTCTGGTTCTTGGACAGGTGCGAGCATTTTAAGCTATGTCTCATAAGGGTCTGGCACGACTAAGACCCCTGGGCACATCAGAATGCCGTCGCAAACTAAGTATGAGGGCACTGGGATCGCAGGTGCATTGGGTGAATTTGATGTGAAAGGAAAAGGGTCGGAGTCCTCGTCTTCATCTTCAACAATAGTCGCGGTTGGTCATCATGTCCTCTCGTCACTGACCTGTATTGTGTTCATTGCGACTACAGGTGAATTCGAGACTGGAACGCGATGGGGAGTAACAGCATCATGATACTTCACTCAAACTTCAGGCGAAATAGAAAGCAGCTCTTCAGGTGTGAGAGTGACCAAAAGAGCCTTCATAGATTGTGCAAAAATGTTGATGAGCGCACACCCAACACAAACACCTAAACTCAACTAAACAAGATGAGAAGCAGGGTCGCTCTGTGTGTAAGGGAAGGGCATCGCAACTGTAAAATATTGCGAGTGGGTCCCAGAACCTCGACCTAAGCCAAAGGGGGATGCAACCTGTGAAGAAACGAGGGCTCGCGATGTAAACGCAAAGTCAGGCGACAATCTACGACAAAGTCGCGAAAGTCGAAGATAGGAAGCTCAGGTGTCCTTGTACTAAAAATATAATACCTTACAGTAATCACTGTCAAGCTCAATACAATGTGACCAGTACAGCCCACACCGGGTTGCATTATAATCTCCCGCTAATTCTCTGCGGACATTATGATGTGTGTCAAAAAAACATATGGGTACTTTGCCCTCCAGAATAAAATGTAAAATCTCTTTTTGGGATGCTTAAAACATACAGAAAATACCAAAAAAGAAAAAACATACTGGAATTTGCCATGCTGGCAAAACATACGGAATATACCAAAAAAGAAAAAAACATACTGAAATTTGCCATGCTGGCAAAACATACAAAAAATACCTGGCAGCTGGCAGCTCAAATACGGGGTGGGGAAATCCACACTCTGCATCCCTTCTGCAAGGGAGGACAAGTCGTATGCCATTAAAGATGACAGGTAGATAAATAATACATGGGAGAAAACATCATTGTCAGTTATAAAGAATAATCTTTCACTTCAGGGTACCCTTTATCCCTAGCTCTTAGCAGTGAGATCTTCTATAGTATGTCATAGCTAAGAGCTTCTTAAGTGTCAGACTGACCATGGTACCTATTATGTCCCAGGGCATTCTGTGGCATTGCCCAGGGCATAGATAGGGTAGTGGCTGGGCATATAGGATGATTATTATGTGGGATATCCTACTAGGCTAGGACATTAATTGTTTATCCCAGTATTACTGGTTGTTCCATGGTGTCAGAGGTACATAAGGATGTCCCACTGTTAGCAGAAGATGTATTTTAGGCTGTATATTTGTTGTTTCATCTTTTCATCTACTGCCATATTATATAAAATATAATTACATAGTGCAGTAAATCAGTGCTTTATTAACACTTTGTATAAAAATGGGACATTCCATTTTAAGGATATTCCATTTTAAGGACATCTCATTTTAAGGACATCCTAAAATGTGATTTATTTGTATGCTGACAGTTATTCAGGCTATTATTTGTCTGAATATATCTGTTAGACTACTATAATTACCTAAAGACCTATATTAGTCATTGTATTATTAAGATTGGAGAGTAACAGGTTCTTAAATGGGATATCCCATCCTATAGCATAATGTCCCAGAGTATAAGAAGTCATTGGATATATGTTTGTGAATGCAACTTTACTGCAATCTTAGGTCAAATGTCTTCCTTGCTTTATTCAGGTACATTCTATAGTAGCAGACTTAACTAAGGTGTCTCTTATTTGCTAGTGTATAAGTAGACTGAGTTACTGTGTTTCTTCTGGTTATTAATGAAAGTTATAGAATATTCAGGTTGGATGCAATATACTAAAGGTGACATCACATCAATTTGAACATTGCATCAGAAAAGATACAATTACTTTTGAAACACGAGAATAAGAACTGTTGTTTGGCCTGTTATAGTTGTTATTTGATCTAATGAACATGTTATACATACCACTAATAGTAATTAGTATTATAACACTGCAGGTGAATATAAAACTTAGTATGAGATATCCCACTATTTGTGGATCTCCCATCTCATTTGAAGTATCAGTAAAGCACTGGTTTACTGTACTATGTAATTAAGGTTTATACAGTATGGCAGTAGATGAAAATATGAAACAACAAATATACAACAGCTTAAAAATACATCTTCTGCTAACAGTGGGACATCCTTATATACCCCTGACACCATGGGACCACCAGTAATACTGGAATAAACAATTAATGTCCTAGCCTAGTAGGATATCCCACATAATAATCATCCCATATGCCCAGCCACTACCCTATCTATGCCCTGGGCAATGCCACAGAATGCCCTGGGACATAATAGGTACCATGGTCAGTCTGACACTTAAGAAGCTCTTAGCTATGACATACTATAGAAAATCTTGTTGCTAAGAGCTAGGGATAATGGGTACCCTGAAGTGTAATCTTTAGTGCTTATAAGTTACAATTAAGGCTGAAATCCAGGTTTAATAAGCAGGTCATGTACAAGGATAATCTACTGAGGGATTATCCCCTCAGTAGATTATCTTTTTGAAGTAGTCTAAGCTAATCTGAAGATAATCCAAAGGGATAATCCTAAAGATCATCCAAAGGATTATCCAAAGCCAAAATTGATTTAAAAACTTGCACTCAGCCAGGATTGAACTCTTAACCTCAGAAGAAAGTCACATGACCAAGAAACTTCAGACACTTTAACCACTACTCCATATAACCTTAACAGTTTACACTCATGCATAATATATATAGTAAATTTTGCTGAAAGGACTTAGACAAATTCTGCTCATCACAAAAGTAGTGACTGAGTTAGACATAAGAAAAAGGATGTTTCTAGTCACTTTAGGGTACCCTTCAGACCTAGCTCTTAGCTTCAACATAACTTGTAGTGTATTGTAGCTAAGGGCTTCTCAGATGACTGACTGACCATTGTACTAACACATGTTCCAGGGCATTATATGTGACTATCCAGTATAGATATGATATAGGCTGGTCCATCTTATAGTACTAGTGTATTTACTAATTGTTCTATAATGTCAGGTACATAAGATGTCCCACTGTTCACTTTAGAGTACTTTTTATCTCTAGCTCTCAGCAACAAAATGTTCTATAGTATGTCATTGCTAAGTGCCTCTTAAGTGCAGTATGATCATAGTATCAATACATGTCTCAGAGTATTAAAAGATTGCTCAGGCCATAGATAGGATGTAAGCTGGGCATATGTGATGAATCTTGTGAGGGATATCCTACTAAGCTAGAACATTGATACTCTGAAGTAAACAGTGGGACATCTTCTGTACCCCTGACATTATAGAACAACTAGTAAATACACTAGTACTATAAGATGGATCAGCCTATATCATATCTATACTGGATAGTCACATATAATGCCCTGGAACATGTGTTAGTACAATGGTCAGTCAGTCATCTGAGAAGCCCTTAGCTACAATACACTACAAGTTATGTTGAAGCTAAGAGCTAGGTCTGAAGGGTACCCTAAAGTGACTAGAAACATCCTTTTTCTTATGTCTAACTCAGTCACTACTTTTGTGATGAGCAGAATTTGTCTAAGTCCTTTCAGCAAAATTTACTATATATATTATGCATGAGTGTAAACTGTTAAGGTTATATGGAGTAGTGGTTAAAGTGTCTGAAGTTTCTTGGTCATGTGACTTTCTTCTGAGGTTGAGAGTTTAATCCTGGCTGAGTGCAAGTTTTTAAATTAATTTTGGCTTTAGATAATCCTCTGGATTATCCCTTTAGATTATCTTCAGATTAGCTTAGAATACTTCAAAGAGATAATCCTCCAGTAGATTATCCTTGTACATGGCCTGCTTATTAAACCCGGATTTCAGCCTTAATTGTAACTTATAAGCACTAAAGATTATTCCTCATAACTGACATCACTGGAGAAAAACAGCACAGGAGAGGGGGGATGAACAAAAGGTGCAGGACAGAAACTGAGCAAATATGAGATGCATCCGTGCCATCAAAAATCTGTGTGAGGACAGGAGAATTGAACGCAACAGAAGTGAGACGTCGGGTTTAGACAGGGTCGACATCATTCTCGAGATCTTCATCCAGTCCGAGATCGATGTCTACTTCAACTGCATCGAAGGCAGATTTCACAGCCAACTCAAGGGTTTCCTCCCCATCAGGACATATGCCCGAAGATCTTCGACGAGACCCGCATCCATCCCACTGTCGAGATGATCGCATCTTCCATTCCAGATGGCAGCCTGCCAGCGGCTATACTCCATGACACGGCGCATCTCCTCATTGAGTAAACGGACCTCCTCATGCCATCTTGCTGCACGAGCCCTTACCTTTACCCATTCCACTCTCAAAGCTGTATTCACAAAATTAGTTCGAGTATGTAGATGGCCACAGTGGACAATACTCACAGTCAGCCAACCCGGCCTCTCCGCCTTCATTCGCCACATCATATCACAGCCAAGAAAGCATGCAGCAGCCCTCTCCAACTGCGACCACCCCCGTGTGCCTGACGCCAAAGCTGTTCGATGAGGAGCCGCTAAGTTCGCATATCCGTTCTTGCTCTGCCCTCTCTTCATTCATCAAAGCACGCTCCCCCAGACCCCGCACATCTGCGTCATTGAGCTCCTGTAAAGTATCCTCTCAAGCATGCAGAGAGAGCAACGTGGAACGCACGTGGCAATACCGCAATGTGGCTGCTCGTATGTGCACATTCACACTGGATTGAGCTGCATGAGCCCGGATGTTCAGCCGCTGTCCTTTGACATTCTTCATCTTCGAGTGACTGTACACAGTACGTGTACGCAGTTGGCAGCGGATGTTGTTCAGAGCCTCCATTGCATCAGCATATCGAAGCTCGTCTTCCATCTCTCCCAAGCCAGGGACACAGATCCGAGCACGAAGCATCACAGACAAGGTAGATGGCATGGTGAGTTCGATGTTCTCTGCCTCAGCGTGGACTGAGTCTGCATCGCGGAAGGTAGGGAGGGACGGCATGTAGGCCAGACGAACCTCTTGAAACTATAAGATCTTCTTGAGAAGAGCTGCATGCTGCTCTTGCAGCATAGCATCCTGAAGTGTGGTCAGTTCACCACGCACGAGGCGATGAAGGCTGCATCTGCAGCACAAACATTTTTTCAGTACTGGACAGTGATATATTGTATGATGTACTTACTGCTGCTCCTCGAGCTCCATACCTAACAGCAAAAATGAGCTCAGACTAATGTCCGATTGTGCATCTTGGCCTTCCTGAATCCTAGCCTGCTCTTCTTTGGCCAATTTCAAATAAACGTTGGCGAGTGTGATCTCTAGAAGCAACGTCAACACAAGAATTGAAACAAAAAAAGGGAAATACTTACTGCTCTTGGGCAACGCGTATGGGTTAGGCTTCAATATGTCTGCCTCCCATTCCTCAACTATGACCCCCCATGCCACGACATCAGCAGGACGCTGCACTCGCAATCCACTTGTGAACTTTGCAAAATCCTCATAGTGCACGACAGCCTCAGGGATAGCCTCCAGCATCTGACACAGAAATGCATTGCCTATATGAATGCATTCGTCAGCTGAAGGCTTTAAAACAGAGTAGGGACAGAAATGGAACTCACCGACTTCGACCATCTTCCTCCAGTTACGGAAGCCGCAGATGTCGTCGATCGTCTCTCATCTGTGGCCCGGACCCATCTCCTTTGTGCTGGGAGCTACAGGATTCAGTGCGGTCCAGTTGCGCTCAACGCCCTCGCCGTCTGTCCGCCTACACCACTTTGCAAAGTTGAAAGAGTACGGCGCATGGCATTCCTCTTGATGAGCCGGGAGATGGAACTTCGGAACAAATGCATCTAGGGCATCTGCAGGCAGCATCATTTGAAGGCTGGCAGGAATTTGCTCGTGTCACTGCCAAAAATTCTGGTACCATTAGCAGGCTATGTCATACGACACGATAAGCCTCTTGACCTCGACGGACTTAACACTGGAGATGAATATATAGTCCATGTTGCAATACCTGTATGATTGTGAGCCAACAAAAAAAAATCATAATGGTGCATCCATACCGTTCGCCCTTTTGCAAGTCACCTAATCCCATTGGTCGAAAAAGCTCATGCCGCGAGCAGCTCACACTGCCCACTCCAGTAGATCGCAAGCCCTTCGCCTTTCGATTCAGAGTATTCATCAGCGCGGCAAACCCAACACAGGTGCGGATCTCCTCTTGTTTGATGAAATTCTTGATGAAATCTGCATATTGCTCGTTGTGGACGAAGTACACCATGCCGGGTGCAAGCCAGAGGTCTCGCTGGTCACAAGCATGCACACAATTTGAGAGGCGAAAATTGGCTTCGTGTGAGATGAAGAGTGTATATAGCCATCTATTAAGATCATGAGCACACAAATGACAAATATATAGAAGAAACGCACCTATCTGCACTAGAAGAATCCTTCCATCTGTCAGATAAATTGATGCCAGAATGCAGGCAGGCTCGACACTGGACGGCCAAAGCCCCAGGGTTGGTGGAGCTGATACTTCCGCTGTCATAGCTATGGCCTGCACACTTAGCCATTTTGATGTGACGCCACTGCCTCACCATGAGCATGAAGGCAGGAAGACGGTCCTAATATGACAAATGTGGTGAGAAAAATCCACAGATATGTGACTCGCCACTTACCAAAAGTTTCAGGAGACCCGTGTTATCCGTCATCAGCTCCAATGACTTGTAGAAATTGTATGCTGTAACCTTCCCTTGAAGGTTGAGAGTGTGAAAAAGACAGAGGAGGCGCATGGTGGTGCAGGACTGCAGCTCCAGAGGTGTCGCAGGTCACCACCCAAACTGTAGAAACTGCTTGTGCTCTGGCATGCCCAAGCACACACAGAACGTGACCTTCACGGTATGAATTTCGTTTGTATGCAGGACAGTGATGGAACGTGGTTCGTCACGCAGACCACAGAGGACGCTCGGCCTATGGCCGAGCTGCACAACAAGTCCAAGCTCATGCAGGTTAGTCCTCTTGAAGTACGTCCCTGTCCAAAACTATTGCATTTTCAGATATTGGAAGATTCAAGTTGAAACATTATAACATACCTCGACGGTGTGCAACGGAGAATGCAGATGGTGGCTAACAATACACTGCTGGCAGAGGACGTCGCTGGCACAACAATCTCTGCAGCGAAAAAAGAAGTCTGCTTCCGCGTCATAGAGCACACAAATGTTGGAATGAGAGGGCCCTCAGCCTTCAAGACGTAAGACCTCAGGCCGAGAGAATCGCTAGTCCTCGTATCGACTGCGTCATCAAATGCGCATTGGCCGGCTGGATCTTCAGAGGCAAACTGCCCCTCAGTTTGAAAGCCATACTCCACCCATCTGATCAAACCACCAGGACAATACTGCATGAACGACTGGCGAGTCTCCCCCTCGCGGATCACGAGGTTTCCGTGCCACAACAAAGCTGATGGAATTAGGATCGTCGAGCTGGGCAGAAACTCGACGATCAACTTGAGGTCGAATAACACCAGGTGGCCGCCGCGTTTAGGGTCGAATCTTCCGAGCGCAGTACTAGCGCACTATGTAGCTGGGCTATTCTTCTCATTGGTGTGGTCAAAACACACGGCGTTGGGGCCAAAATTGAAGGTGGCAGTGGGGTAGATACTATTCGGGAAGTTTTGGCGTAGAGAGGGTTTGTGATTGTAGAGCTCTTGCAGGCATACTGCTGCTCGACCAAAGGCCTTTGGCGCAAATGCTGCAAATGCACCTATGTATGTATGTGAGCATCCCTCAGCGCAATGTAGATTATATTGTCCTACCATTTTCAAAGCTGGCGATCTGCTGGATTCCACAATTGCAACAGAGCTCTGTCAGCTTCATCTGGTTTGCGGCTGTGTTGTATATGTCTTGGGGTTTGCGCTGGCCTCCTCCGTGGGAGATGCCGGTAGCGAGTGTCGGGAAGCGGCCCCTTCTATGACTCCTCTGGAGGCGTGAGAAAGTGCACGTCTTCTCCACAGACGCTAACGTGGTGCTCACATTTGATACAGCCTCTCCCCACATTGCATCATTGGGCTGCCCTGCAAGAATGGCGATGATTTGCCTATCAGCATCTAGAAGAGCGTGGGGTGTCCTGACGTATCGAGCAGGATGTCAGTGATCTGAAAGGGCGCGACAACAGTGTGACGCACCTGCCATCCCATGCATGCACACGAAACCCACGTCTCAGCAACTTGTCCATCTCCCACAGCTTCCTTTCTTTCAATGACCCCACAACCTTCCCAACAAAGCCATCACTGCAGATCGGGAGGGTGGCTCTACGCAGCCTGGACACCATGGCATGTAACTCGCACAGCTGCAAAGCTGTCGAAGAGCGCACCTTGTACGTGAAAGTTTGCGATGCCTTGAGTTGCAGGCGTTTAGCCTGCCTGCATTTCCTCTTCCCATTCTTTGCGTGCATCCCACCGGTATTTCATGTGGCAGGTGGAAAAGAAACCGACGCAGGGGAAGTCCACAGCGAGGGAAGTACAGGTTGCGAAGTTCTCGCAGGTTCGAGGATTGGAGGTGGGAGCATCTCGCCTTCATACACTGGCATTGTCCTTCCTGATGAGCACAAAGACAGTGGGGAGGAAAAGATAGATAAAGGCAACAACGGCAGTGGTGAGAGAGGCAACGATGGTGGTGATGTGAGAGGCAACACTGGGTGAGGCGAACAGTTCTGACCTATGACCTCCCGCAGCAATTCAACACCAACTGCCTTTTGCATGAGCGGCTTCAGAGAGAGAGGTGTAGAGACGATCGTGGCATAGGGCGAGAAGAAATGCCCCGAGTGGGTCTGTTCGAGAATTCAGCCATCCTGCCATGTTGTGTTGAAAAAGACCTACCTTGCACATATCACATTCAAATAGAGGAGTGGGGGCTGGAAAAAAAGCAGGTCAGTGCACATAACACTATATAACACTGCGAAACTAAGAAAGAAAAAAAGCGGAGGAGCAGCTGCCGCAACGGACGACTCAAGTGTCAGTGCCATAGGGCCAAGTGTTGACCCAGCGTACACGTCTCCTCGGGAGTAGCAGACTTAACGGATGTGAAGAATAAACAAAAAAGCATGTAATCAAACACACTTACATGAAAATAGAAAACAGAGCGCGACTTGGGTGGCGAGAATGATGGTCGATGTGAGAGTCAAGATAGAGCCTTGGCTGTGGCACACTCGACACGTCGCTTGACGCGTCAAGTTCCCTCAGGCTACTCCAGACACTCACTCAACTTCCACTCAGTTTCTGCAGCATCTCAACGCTTCTCACCACAGTTTTTGATGTGATGTAATACGTTTGTATTGTCTACTATATTTCGTATTGTAGATACATTATAGAATACAATTCCTCTCCCTACAACCAAAAAATCGCAAGGTGAATGCACTTCTACGCCCAACACGTCACCACCAAGGATGTTCGATTGGTAATGGAACACACTAACCAACAAAGCACGATTCTTTCACTGTGAAGATTCAAACATTCAAAAAATAAAGACAAAAAAACATGCATTGCAATATTCTCATGCACAAATCTATGACAAATACATCGACAGCAACGGCGAGCAATGGCAACAGCAGGGAGCGTGACCATACACAACATACACTAACAACAAGAGACGCAATGCAACATAGCCCGTACAAGCCCCGCGCGATGTACTATTCGACGAAGGGCCCTCCCTCACACGAGAGTGAGAACATGGCTACGAGAGTGCGCAAAGACAAACTCCGCCACTGTGAGGTCCTGAGTTTCGAACTCCTGGTAGAAACCAATTGGAGAATGCTCCGTCAATTGATTCGCAACAGACCTGTGTGGCTGTGAGAACTGCAGCGAAAGAAAAAAAAATACCTACTCAGAACTGAATACACCAGGAGCACGCCCGCAAAATACTGCAAACCACTTATGGTCACACGCACAGGTAACTTCACAGTCATGAGACGAGATGGCACATGCGCTGTCACTAGCAAAGTCCACCGACAACAATGATGTGCTTCCCGTCGGAGTCTGTGCCCGACGCGTACTAACTGATGCCGACTGACGCTTCGCACTACGGCCACCTGGGGACTGCAGCACTGAACGCGATGGTGTGCACAATGGTGGCACGGTAGGACTTGGCAACCCTGATGCCGGACTCGAGGAGTTTCCCCCCGATGCGACTATGGGGCTTTTTAATGTGACGGATGCACCGCTAATTGTACGGGCGACCGATGATAGAAGCTGTATGTTAGTACAGTCGTATGGGATCTGCTTGAGCTGCGCAGATGGCGGCAACAACGCTACTAAATTATGGACAGTGCGAGCATCAGTGAGAAACTCATTGGCTTGTTGCTCACTGAGGGCCTGCTGGTAGAGGGATCTGCTGACTCCGATGCACATAGCTTTCACCTCATCCCTGTTTGTGTCACTATATACCCGTAGGTACTGAACAATGTAAGTACGTACCAAGTCTCATATACACCGGGCCCCAGAGCAAGACCCCTGAACACGATGTACATCTTCTCCCCACGGCGCTGCGCAGCCTTGGGTGGATGGTAGAGGACAGAAGGAATGGAACTTCGCATTTTGGTAGAACTGCATCGCAGCAACAGCCTTGTACCTGTAGAGAAAGTGTGAGTAAATGGTGTTATAAACAATACTTAACGTACCAGCAGTCTGTCACGCCCGTCTCCCTCGCTTGCTCCACATGATACAATGTCTCGCCCTTCGCCTGAATTGGCATTCCCAACGGGCCTTCACATAAAGGCCCGGGCATAGCCTCTGCACGTATTGCAATGTTGAAGGGATGCAGAGTGCGCTGAGGTGGGAATCACATCTGCGAAGCGGTCTTACATTTTGGAGATACTACAGGGTGCTACACAACTGACCCCTAGTCCGACAACAGTTGGAAGCTGGTTATTGGAGGAGGGCATGCTACGAGCCCGAATGCTACTTCCAATTCCTCGACTATGATCCGCAACCACCTCAAGGTACCATTTGCCAGCTCGCATCTACCAGTGATTCCACGCATGACATTGTACAGTTCACGGGCCGCATTGCGCAATGTCTCAACCTGAAGGTGCAAGGTTCCTGATGGTGATAAAAAGCTGAGGAATACGATTCCAGGAAAATAGGGACAGGACGACCGTGCACCAATGTCAGGGAGACCATCCGACGAGTGGCCTAAACCAAAGTCCTCGCGGACAGCGGGGTCGTCATACAGAATGCGGGCAGTCAAACCATGAGGAATGACCGCAGGAAGGTGATCTGCAATTCGAGGTATCATCTGATGACCACCTTCTACAGTGCGAGCTGTTGCCAGGTGTATTTTCACTTGGGCCAGGACAGGGATATCGCATGGAAGGGGTAGGATGATCTCCACGCTGGCCGCTTCAGACTGAGCTTGGACCATGAGAACCTGAGGGACGTGTGAGGGTCAGATGGCGAAGGATCATATGCCCATGAGGGCCTCACCAGCAGGACGTGCATCCGGACTGCCCATGCTTTCCACAGGATCGGATTGAAGGGCTCGGTAAAGATCTCAATGCGAAGAAGCGCTTCCACGAGGGTGTATTTGCGAAGGATGATGCTGGCGTCTATGGATGGGAGATTGAGTTCAGGATAGAAGATATGCCTCCGAGGCAGGTGGGTGCTTATTAGGCACTCGGGCGAGACCAGTGATGGATGACCCCTTGGATTGAGTAGGAGCATGAGGGGACGGGATTGCGAGATATGGCGTGATGGGCAGTGGTTCAGCAGAGCCATTCTTAAGCAGATGCATGCAGTATCGGGAGGGCAGGAAAGGTCAGGACCAGTTTTAAGTATGATGGCAGGGGAAGAGGAAAGGGGAGAACCCACCGTCCCAGAAGGTATGCTTGCAAAAGCCTCATTCACATTCTCATCCCATTCAGTTAGTGCGTCTTTGGGCAGTCTTGCATTTGTGCATTTTCTGGGCAGTCTTGCATTTCCGCATTTCAGTGTTCTCCTTAGAGCAGTGCAATTTTACCCCGATGCATTTCCAGCGATTATTGCGACTACAGAGATTTTCCTAGCTACGCTTTCGGGCCACCCACCTCATATCTCTGGAATAGACTCTTCTCCTTCATTGCATCGCAGACCCCATGCGGACTTGATTTCACTCGTACTCCTCCTTTCCGGCTTGTGATGGAACTACAATCTCGTCAACGTGAGTGCAATCAAGACAGGATCAAAAAAAAAAACTTTACCAGTGTCTGCTACCAGCCCAGACGTAGTGGTCTTCGGGGCCTCCTGCGACAATGAAGAGTGAAGGCTGTGGAAGCGAGGAGACGGTGATGGTGAAGAGGGCGTAGAGGTGATGGACAGCCTGGTGAGAGCATCTGCAGCGGCGTGGTCAATGGAAGAAATGTCCTGAGCGGACAGAGGAGAGAGGTAGGAGTCATACTCATCATTGCAGGCAGTGACCATGGAGGTCGGGGGCAAGGAGTGAAAGGCGTGGGGTGGGGGTTCATATGGGGCTGTCGGCTAAGAGGCTCGGAATGATTCGGGTCAGAGCGTCAAACTGGCCATCACGAGGATCATCGCTTCTATTCCTTTCCCCATTTGGTATTATCTCTCATCCTCACCTTAAGTGCGTGCTACATAGCTCCTACTCTAAAGTCTATCTCTGATGGTGACACATCCCAAGGTCATGAAGATATACACTGGCAAGAAGAGAAAGAAGCCCAGTCCTAAAGGCAAGTTTGGTGGCACCCTCCTCCAGTATCTCTATTCCAAATGCACCGAGTGGGAGGCCTGTGACTCCGTGAAGAAGACAGGCGATTTTTACACAAAGGTCGCCAAGTACCTACTCGCCAAGCATGGCTGAGATTTCTTGCTCACCGACAATGATGCTCTTGTGGCGGATGATCCCAACGGCCTCGAAGATCCTTCTCCTGAGGAAATCGCGGCTCTGATGGACTTCTCCGAGCTCGAAGATGCTGAGGCAGCGCATCACCGGGAGGTATTCCAGAAGTTGTGTTTGGTGCGTACTCATTTTTTCATAACTTGCGTGTTTAACAGCTCACTTTGCGATCGATGCAGAGTATGGGCCAGTGGTACCACCACCACTGTAAGAAGATCGTCACGTCTGACTCCGACCAGAAGGCCGAGCTCACTGGTGCTTGCGCGAAGATCATGCAAGCGTTTACGGACCTAGCACCTGGCATGCCGCACAAGCCGCAGATTCTTCACGCCTACTCTCGTGAATATTATCGCGAGCGCATACAAGATGCTTACAACCTCGAAATGAAGAGGCTAACTTATGAGGCCATTGCGAATGGTGGCCCCATGCCCAAAGATGTCGCAGTTCGCGCCACCATCACGAAGGCGAAGTACGCTGCAGAGCCTCTGGAGTTTCGGACCCGGTTATGGGCCACACCTTTGTATACAATATCCCCACTTGACTGGGAGAGAAATTGTGCACAACCTGGCCACCATTGTAATGTGCACATTGTAGATATATTGTACACAATATTGTCCAGATTGTACATGCATTGTATAAATGTATTATACACATTATTAACAAGATTGTACATGCATTGTGCACATTGTATACAACATGTACAAAATAAAGTTACACTCAGCCAGGATTGAACCGCTGACCTCCTGGCACATGCTTACATAAGCCACTATTGTTTACACACTTTTTCACTCAGCCATTTTGTCTTATTGTTTTTTTAAACCTCAGTTGTATATAAGACTACAATCTATGTTAAAAAATATTATAATGTCTTGTAATGGCCACTACAGTCCACTTATTACATATAATCTAATCCTCTACGAAGTGCTAAAATATGTTGTAATAAAGCTATTATATAAGTTCAATATTTATTAGTAAAGAGTTAGATTATGTGTAATAAGTGAACTGTAGTGGCTATTACAAGACATTATAATATTTCTTAACATAGATTGTAGTCTTATATACAACTGAGGTTGAAAAAACAATAAGACAAAATGGCTGAGTGGAAAAGTGTGTATACAATAGTGGCTTATGTAAGCATGTGTCAGGAGGTCAGCGGTTCAATCCTGGCTGAGTGTAACTTTATTTTGTACATGTTGTATACAATGTGCACAATGCATGTACAGGTTTGTTAATAATGTGTACAATACATTTATACAATGCATGTACAATCTGGACAATATTGTGTACAATATATCTACAATGTGCACATTACAATGGTGGCCAGGTTGTGCACAATTTCTCTCCCAGTCAAGTGGGGATATTGTATACATAAAGGGTGCCTACTAGTGTCGGACCACCTTCGAGAAGAGCGTTGCCGATGACCACGCCAAGGCAGTGAAGAATTGGAAGCATCTCCGTGAGATGCCATTGGCTGATGGCCCAGAGCAAGCCGAACGCTATCATCAGTACGTCAATTTTCTCTGCTTCCCTGCTGCTCTAATGTGTATGTTTTCAGCGAGCTTACCAGTGCCATGTATTGGCTGAAGCCTCTTGCAGACTACCTGTCTGACAAATTCAGTATGGCCGTCTCTATTCTGCTTGCAGGACCCATTGCAGACCTCAACGGCGCTATCGAGGTGCGCAGGTAAGCTGCCTATTTTTATGCACGCGTTGATCGCTGGCTAATCACCGTTGCTTACGCAGCGCCCACGCGGGCCAGACCCCAGGTCTCGTGAACCTCTGCTGGCCAGAGTTTGATCCCATTGGCTACGCCGACGTGAAGGCCTCGATGGTTCACTTTGCCGAGTGCCTGTATCGTACGTTCCCCCAATATCCTCCGCTCTCGATGCCTCCTCTAACCTCCGTGCTAAGCTCAACCTGAATGCGACAAGCGGGTGTTGTGCATGGCGAGCAGCAGCACTGCGCCAGGCACTGCTGATGTTGCCATGGCAGATGGCAGTCCCGCCCCTCAAGTCAAAACCTCTGCTCAGGCCAAGGCGGAGCCCGGTCCTTCTGGTCAAGCCTCTTCGTCCTCTCACGTTGGTTCATCCTCACCTGTACGCATATCGTCCACTGCGTCTGTGGTCGTTAACCCATTCGGGGCTGTCATTGCAACTTCTTCGGCTTCGGTATCCCTTCCAGTTCCTTCTGCTCAGGCGGAATCGGTTGACGTGTCCAGCAATGCCACTGCCTCATTCCCGACGCCCTCGCAACCAACATTGACGTCAATCCCCACGCTGGTACGGGAGGATGGACGCGTGCATGAGACAGCGTGTGCCAGAGGTCTGTTCATTTTGCCGACTGTCATCAACAGGGTCATGGTGCCGCTGACTGATTTCCAGTCACTCACCGTTGGGAGGTCGGGCGATGTATTTTCATCCTCTGCAACTTCATCTCCTTCTGCTGCTGTCGTGCCACCCCAACCCGTGGCTAGCGACGCACTCCCCTCTTTGTCCGCTCCGACTTCCATTACTACAGCGGAGACCTCTATATCCTCCCAACCTGTTACTGGAGGCACACACCCTTTTGTGATTGATCTGATCTCTGCTAGTGCGACAGAGACCTCTGTGCAGCTATCTCTACCCGGTGCCACACCTCTCTGGAGCCAGTCCGCCTTACATAGTTCGAACTCCAGGTCTGATATCAATTCGTCTCCATCTCCCGTCACTCCTGCCATTCCCAGCTCTACCTCAACTGCGAGGGACAGTGACCTTGTAGCAACGATCCCGGTCCTCGACCTTACATGCTTCTCGGACCATGAGAAGAAGCTTTACGAGAACCTCATTCGTGAACGAGGTTGGGGCAGCGAGTGGTCGCGGATGCTGACAAGCCTAGTGCTCCTCGAGAAGGAGGCGCCGGCTACAGTGAAGAGGTTGGGAGGAAATAAGGCACGTCTGGCCGAGGTGGCTAGCTGGATGAAGATAGCGCGGCTGGCGAGGGACATGGAGATTGATGACTCCGTTGCATTTGCAAAGGGGTGGTGGGGTTGGTGGACATCTCTTCAGCCCTCTACTCGGGCAGTTGGCGATGATGGGAAGCTGCAGCAGGATCGGAGTGCTGTCGTTTGGGATTCACTCTGCATCACGGGCCCCAACGGCCTTCTCCTAGTGGTTGTCTGCCTGGCATGGTGGGGCATGGTGGTTGTTGGAAAGGCTTCTGCAGATTAGGAAAATGACTGCCGTGCTGCTGTCGCTGACGTGGCTTGGACACTCGACCAGATCTTGTCATCACTGAGCGGCTCTTCTTCGTCCAACCATGATGGCTCTACCACCTCTCAGGAGAGTCTGTCTCTCCACGGCATGACATCAACACTGTCTGCATGGAAGGGCTCATCTGTGTTGTCGAAAAGATATGGATCGCATTGACTCATCATGTGTATGTGTACTGAAACGTTGTACAGGAAGGCTGAGACTCAGAACTCCAGCTCTATCACCAAGAAGAGGAAGTCGCAGGCTTGATCTGCTCGCTACTTCCCCCGCGTTGTCGACCTCTTGTTTGCACCCCCATCGTGTCGTCGAGGATCTGTGTCTGGCATATCTAGCTGCATATCGCCATTTTGTTTACATTCGTCGCACTTTCTTCCACGCTCTTGCTTTCGTCACTCTCTCCACAATGCAGTTACTCTCGCTCGTCATTGTTGTCGCCACTTTGTCTTGCTTTCCTCGTTCTTACCCTTTCCGCTTCGCTTTTTGCGCATTCATTAGTTACCTGTGCTTTTTTTTGCTTTTGCCATGCTGCTTGATATTAGAGTCTCTGTGTAGTGGCCCTGTGGGCCCATTATGTTAGTTCCCATGATATGCACCCAGAAACCGAGTATTTCGTGCTGCACTGTGCGGAATCCGTATGCTATTGCTCGAAAATGAATAGGATATGTTTTGCCAAATTTGGCAATTGAGCTGTCCATTGGGAAGTAGCCGAAGTGTAAAATTCTGTATGTTTTGTTTTTTTTATTTTCCATATGTTTTAGATCATATTTAATGCCAAAACAGGCTTTCTGTTTTTTATTCTGCATGTCAGAGCCTGTCGTATGTTTTTTCAAGGCACATCATGATAGCTACGGAGACTTAGCAGGACATTATAATGTCTCTTGGTATGGGTATCACTGGTCACATTGTATTGAGCTTGGCAGTAATTACTGTAGGGTATTATAATTTGGGTACTTGGACTGGTGGCTTGTCGGATATCGAAGTGAGGTCGCTCGACTATGCCATTTGCTCGTGATTTGTAGCCACTAATGCGAATATGATTGATATGGTATCACTTTGCGAGATATGCTGTCGCTTTCATGAAGGCTGACCAATTATCTGTGACTATTTCGCTCAGAGATCCTCAGCGACATAGAATATCCTGGAAAATCCACTCTCTGAGAGATTTTGCATTTTCAGCATGAAGTGCGCACCATTCTGGATAGAAGGAGAGAATGCAGTGAGCTTGGATGAGATATTTGTACCCATTCGATGTCGGAAGATGTATTGTGTCCATATGAGTCTTCGCAAAAAGCAGAGCAGATGTCGCAACGCTCGGAGGGATGCGAACTTGTCGCGTCTGTCGCTGTTGGCACATATGGCAAGTGCAAACATACCATGTGATGTTGCTATGTGACTGAGGCCACCAAAATCGCTCGCAGATGAGAGAGCGCTTCGCGAAAATACCATGATGTCCTTGTAGGTCGTGACAAGAGTGGAGAATTTGCATGCGATCTTCTGGACTGACAACAAGCTTGTGCGCTCCTTGCGAATCTTTTCGCCAAAGTCGCTGATCATCTATAAAGAAGTTGACGCAGTATCGCGTGAAGTTCATATACTCGACGTCGGAAAGCTCTGGGGGATGAACGAGAGTATTGAGCCAGTTGCGAACTAAGTCAAGATAAATGTCAGCAGCTTTTGCAATATCGGTGTGAGAAATGAGGTTGGAACTCTCGCAGATCTCGGAGACTTCTTCGTTCAAAAATGTCGCAATAGTTCTCGAGGGCGCGATGCGATGAATCGGGTTGACGAAATATAGGAAACTGTGTATGTGGTCAATCCAATCATCAAAGTCGTCATCTTCTTCAATTTCACTATCGCCTGGCTGAGGGGGACATTGCGAAAGGCCATCTGGTTCATGAGAGGTACCAGGAACATGAACTAGGGTGAAATGGAATATGAGGATCGCGACTATCCAGCGATTGATGCTAGCACTGGGAGCGATGTCGGGATTTCGGAGCATGCCCTTGCACCAGTGGTGGCCATTGTTGTATAACAATACCCCAGTTACCTGGCAGTAGTGTTTGATGCCTATTTGCAGTGAGCTGAACTGCCACGACTTAAACCTCAGAACCAAAATTCCCAGAACTCACCTTCAAATCTTCCTTACAAAATTGCCAAGCAACCCGACTTTCCTAACACACCTGTTCACTCTCTAGTTAAGAACTTTGGATGCACAAGATTTGTGCAAAATCTGGAGGATTTCTTGCATAAACACTCACCTAACCAGCAAGTCCCTATTGCAGCTCAAGGTCTTCATGATCGAACACAGTTTGCAGTCTACAAATATGTGTAAATCAGTCTTCCAGTGGCACGACAAGTCTCATGTACTCTAACAAAGGATACTATCCAGGCAACACCACCATGAGGGGATTGCATAAGGCAGTTTCAGGGCATTTTGACACAGTGATTGCACAAGAACATTTCCTCAATCCCTTGGACAAGAAGTAAAATAAATCACTTGAAGGCAAATTTTTTATTTACCATTCTGTGCTGCCTGAGTGTACTGACATAGTTCCAAGGTTTATGTGTTGCTCGAGTCCATGCAATTTTCAGAGTTCCTGAAGAATATGGCAGACAATTCAAGGACCTTTTGGCCTATGTTGAATAGTTTACACCTTTTCGCTTACTGATCTCAGATATTAGTATGTACAAGATTCCATATTCTCATTGACATAATGCCCGCCGAAGTTCAATCATTCCAGTCACACAGATTGTACAGAGTTGTCACTTGATACCACACTAAGGACAATTAGTGGTACCATCATGGACATCTGCAGAGACTCTGGACCAGGCTACATCATTTTATGTGAATCTATACCTACGGCATGATGATTTCTTAATGTTCCATTACTTAGAAGAATTAAATACATAGATTTGTGATTATGTCTAACCGCACTTTCCTAGTACTCACTGACATGACTGGGGAAGTTCAGATGTACATCTCCTAGCATTAGAGTGCATTCAGTACCTCTGAAGGCTGTAACAATGATACAAGATTCACTGAAGCTCTCTAGACAATCTTGGACCAGATGGACTGGTAAGACTGCTCTCTATTACTAATGAGGCCTATCTATCACCTAGTCAGAGCTATCAAGACTAGGGAGACTAGGGAGACCATAGTGGTGTCTAGAGTGAATTGGGTTTTTTCTGATGTATAATTGTATAACAATGTATTAAAAAACTACCATATAATAGCCTGAAAATACATCTTTTACTAATAGTGGGACATCTCTACATACCCCTGGCACCATGGGACAACCAGTAATACTGGGATATAAATATCAATGCCCTAGTACTATAGGACATCCCATATGATAATTACACCATTGGACCGGCCTATACCCTGCCTTTGCCCTGGGTAATCCCATATAATGCCCAGGGAAATGTATTGGTACTTTGGTCTGTCTGACACCTGAGAGGCTCTTAGCTACTACACAATATAGATTATGTTGAAGCTAAGAGCTAGGTCAGAAGGGTACCCTGAAGTGGAGCCTAGCTCACATTTGTTGAGCCTGGCTCATTTATTTCTATTAAGTTAGGCTCATATATTTTCTGTTGAGCTCAGCTCATATTTTTTTATTGAGCTTAGCTCCTGTATTTCTGTTGAGCCTAGCTCACATTTGTTGGGCCTGACTCATTTATTTCTATTAAGTTAGGCTCATATATTTTCTGTTGAGTTTAGCTCATATATTTCTGTTGAGCCTGGCTCATTTATTTCTATTAAGTTAGGCTCATATATTTTCTGTTGAGCTCAGCTCATATATATATATTTTTTGAGCTTAGCTCGTATATTTCTGTTGAGCCTAGCTCACATTTATTGGGCCTGACTCATTTATTTCTATTAAGTTAGGCTCATATATTTTCTGTTGAGCTCAGCTCATATATTTTTTATTGAACTTAGCTTGTATATTTCTGTTGAGCCTAGCTCACATTTGTTGGGCCTGACTCATTTATTTCTATTAAGTTAGGCTCATATATTTTCTGTTAAGTTTAGCTCATATATTTCTGTTGAGCCTGGCTCATTTATTTCTATTAAGTTAGGCTCATATATTTTCTGTTGAGCTCAGCTCATATATATATTTTTTGAGCTTAGCTCGTATATTTCTGTTGAGCCTAGCTCACATTTAATGGGCCTGGCTCATTTATTTCTATTAAGTTAGGCTCATATATTTTCTGTTGAGTTTAGCTCATATATTTCTGTTGAGCCTGGCTCATTTATTTCTATTAAGTTAGACTCATATATTTTCTGTTGAGTTTAGCTCATATATTTCTGTTGAGCCTGGCTCATTTATTTCTATTAAGTTAGGCTCATATATTTTCTGTTGAGCTCAGCTCATATTTTTTTATTGAGCTTAGCTCCTGTATTTCTGTTGAGCCTAGCTCACATTTGTTGGGCCTGACTCATTTATTTCTATTAAGTTAGGCTCATATATTTTCTGTTGAGTTTAGCTCATATATTTCTGTTGAGCCTGGCTCATTTATTTCTATTAAGTTAGGCTCATATATTTTCTGTTGAGCTCAGCTCATATATATATATATTTTTGAGCTTAGCTCGTATATTTCTGTTGAGCCTAGCTCACATTTGTTGGGCCTGGCTTATTTATTTCTATTAAGTTAGGCTCATACATCTTCTGTTGAGCTCAGTACTTCAGGGTACTCTTTATCCCTAGCTCTTAGAAACAAAATCTTCTATAGTATGTCATAGCTAAGAGCTTTTTAAGTGTCAGACTGACTATAGTACCTATTATGTCCCAGAGCATTCTGTGAGATTGCCCAGAGCATAGATAGGGTATAGGCTGGGCATATGGGATGATTATTATATGGGATATCCTACTAGGCTAGGACATTAATTGTTTATCCCAGTTCACTACTGTCATACTACATAAATTGTACTTATATAGTACAGTAAATCAGAGCTTTATTAACACTTTATATAAAAATGTGACATTCAATTTTAAGGATATCCCATTTTAAGGATATCCCAGTTTAAGGACATCCCATTGTAAGGACATTCTCAAGTGTGATTTATTTGTATGCTGACAGCTATTCAGGCTATTATTTGTCTGAATATATCTGTTAGACTATTATAATTACCTAAAAACCTATACTAGTCATTGTATTATTAAGATTGGAGAGTGACAGGTCCTTAGATGGGATATCCCCTCCTATAGCATAATGTTCCAGAGTATAAGAAGTCATTTGGTGAATGTGTTTGTGAATGTAACTTTACTGCAATCTTAGGTCAAATGTCTTCCTTGCTTTGTTCAGGTACATTCTATAGTAGCAGACTTAACTAAACCGTCTCTTATTTGCTAGTGTATAAGTAGACAGAGTTATTGTGTTTCTTCTGGTTATTAATGAAAGTTATAGAATATTCTTGTTAGATGCAATATACTAAAGGTGACATCATATCAATTTGAACATTGCATCAGAAAAGGTATAATTACTTTTGAAACACGAGAATAAAAACTGTTGTTTGGCCTGTTATAGTTGTTATTTGATCTAATGAACATGTTATACATACCACTAATAGTAATTAGTATTATAACACTGCAGGTGAATATAAAACTTAGTATGAGATATCTCACTATTTGTGGATCTTCCATCTCATTTGAAGTATCTGTAAAGCACTGGTTTACTGTACTATGTAATTAAGGTTTATACAGTATGGCAGTAGATGAAAAGATGAAACAACAAATATACAACAGCCTAAAAATACATCTTCTGCTAACAGTGGGACATCCTTATATACCCGTGACACCATGGGACAACTAGTAATACTGGGATAAACAATTAATGTCCTAGCCTAGTAGGATATTCCACATAATAATCATCCCATACACTCAGCCTATACCCTATCTATACCCTGAGCAATCCCACAGAATGTCCTGAGACATAATAGGTACCATGGTCAGTCTGACACTTAAGAAGCTCTTAGCTATGACATACTATAGAAGAGCTTATTGCTAAGAGCTAAAGATAAAGGGTACCCTGAAGTGGCAGTAAATGATCTCAAGCCAGATTAAGGTACATTGGAAGGACAGTGTCCATTTACTGTGCATAGTTTGACAAGCGATGAACTTAGTGAACTACTCAAGAATGACCCACAAAAAGTTTGTGCAAAAGCAATAGCACACTTCAGACAAGGTGGCAAGGTACTTGCAGTTGGACATTCTGAACAGGCTGAATCATTATATAATAACCCACAACTATATTCACAAATGTTTCCATGGTTATTCCCATACAGTTTAGTGGGAAATAGATATTGACCCCTACCATCATGTGACAGGTGATAATGACCAAGGAACTCCATAGATTTCCTATGGCAATAGGATAACACAGGGTTAAACAGGATGACTATTGGATGTTCCTAGGTATTAGCCCTTCATGGCCTTCCCTTGGTCAGGTACTTCCCCTATAAGGTCATGGGACTTACACAGGTATCATGGTCAGTCTGACACCTGAGAAGCTCTTAGCCATGACACAATCATTTGTAGTACATGTAAAATTTTAGTAAAATTTTAGTATGTATCATACATGTACTGCAAATGTTCTTGGTGCCCAGGACATCTTATATGTTTGGAGTAGGAGCACCTAACATCTTCTCACAATGTTCTGAAAATTAATGGCAGCCAGAAATGTAATGTGTTTGGCCATGGAAAATCCTTATTATACAGAGCATATTGCATCAAGAGACAAGCCCAGAATATAGTAGCAAAATGATAAATGTTCCTGAATGAAACATGCAGCAAGTCTGCAGGACATTCTCCAATGAGACATTGTGTGAGACATATTATATGTTCCAGAATGGTACATGCAACATGTCTCCAGCATGCTCTCCAATGGAACATTGTGCGAGACATATTAGATGTTCCTTATCATGTTCAGAACATGTGACATGTCCAAAAATGTAATCTGTTCCTTGGATGTTCAGACACTGTTCCAAGGCAGAACATCCACTTTTGCCTCCAGTGTCCATTTACGGTCAGATATTTTGTTAACTCCTCGAGTATTTCAAATCCACCTCATTATTTCTCTGCCAAATTGGCAGCCACTGGGACTGTATACCTATAGTAGGTACTTTCTACATATACTATGAACACTGTTATCTGAATTTTATTGTAATGAAAATAGCTGCTTGCTGTCAGCTGTTACTTCTCACTTTTTGTCCTTGCCTTCATCACATTGTTTGAGCAAGGAGGAAATCATAGTCTACAACAGCACACTGGTTGAAGCATGAGCATCAGGTCTACTCAAATCACTAGTCTCAGTTATAAGCAAGACTTGCATTGACACATAGAATGTTCTTACTAGTAATAACAAGTAAGGAGGATGTGAGAGACTTCCGAGCAAAACCTGAACAAGAAAGTAACTAAGTAAGGAGGACATGAGAGACTGCCAAGCAGTACCTGAACAAGAAAGTAACTAAGTAAGGAGGATGTGAGAAACTGCCAAGCAGTATCTCAACAAAAAAGTAACTAAGTAAGGAGGATGTGAGAAACTGCCAAGCAATATCTCAACAAAAAAGTGAACTAAGTCTGCACCTTTTGCAAACTATCAATATTAGTCTCTGACACAATGATATCATGTCCAAAGGGTGCACACTCCTCCTCTCTTGATTGTGCCAAAGGTATAGGTCATTTTAGTGCGGCAGCCTCAGCAGCTTTCACCAACTGCTGTGTCTTCTCTTTCTGTACATCCACCTGTATGTGGGTAGCAAGCACCAATGTCTCAAATGCAGACACCTTTGCTTCAAGATTTAGGATCATCAATGGAGCATTTGTATACTGCACCTCCAATGAGCGAGACAGTTCGAGCACAGACTCGAGCTGCTTTGACAGTGTGTCAAGGTGTTCAGTGACATCCTCTGAGGAAGAAGCAGGAACATGGGGGATGCGTGGAGATAAGGGCAAGTGCAGATGAGCACAAAGTGAGACAGGTCTGAGTTGCCACCTTGAAGATAGATGGGATGCGAATCATAGTCCTCATCATTATCACCCATGCCCATCCCAGTTAGCTCAGGTGTTCTTGAGTGTCCTAACTCCTCCCTTCTCCACCTTCAGTCTTCTTCCTCTTGCTCAGTGGCTAGATGTTCTTTATCCTCTTCATCAACTCATTCCAGTTTATACAGGACAACCGTCACGATGCTACATGCATTATCATCATCTCTGAGTAAATCTCTGTCGTGATTCATTTTGTCCTGATGCTGCCACTGATGAATAGGACTGCCATTCTGGTGCTGTCTGTACACCTATCAAGCAGGTTCTGCACACCAGCTGGGCTGTCTACAGTCATACATGGATCTCCTGGTTACTCTGAGGAGCTACATCTCTCCTGTATGGGCCTATGGATGTCTCAGAGGGCCATGGCATCATACGTGGATCTCTCGACAGGTCACTCTGGGGAGTTACATCTCTTCTGTATGAGCCTACAGATGTCCCAAAGGGTCATGGCAACATATGTGGATCTCCCAACAGGTTACTCTGGGGAGTTACATCCCATTTGGGTCTACAGATGTCCCAAAAGGCCATGTCAGTCTTCACATATCTCCTGACAGGTCACTCTGGGGAGTTACATCTCTCCCGTATGGGCCTACGGATGTCCCAGAGGGCCATGTCAGTTTTCAAGTATCTCCTGACAGGTCACTCTGGGGAGTTACATCTCTTCCATATGGGTCTACAGATGTTCCAAAGGGCCATGCCAGTCTTCATGTATCTCCCGACAGGTCAGTCTGAGGAGTTACATCTCTCCTGTATGGGCCTACGGATGTCTCAACGGGCCATCAGATCTCCCAACAAGTTATTCTAGAGAGGTACAACACTCCTATCTGGGCAAATGGACATCCCAATGGCTATATCAGGGATATACAGACATATATAGATTTCCGAAGTTATATACCTCCCACTCATCTGTGCAGCAGTTTTCGCTAGATAATTTGTGCAATCCTACTTGTTACAAAGTTCTAGAGGTGAAGCACCTGCTTGCGCGGGGATTGACTAACTGTCTGCATGACTTCATCATTGAAGAGACTATCAGAGTCAAAATCTACCGCACTGGGATGATACATATCCATCAATGCAGCATCCTTAGCAGCATCAAGGAGTTCACCATCATCTTCAGGATGTGTGGCCTCATCAAAGCTCATCTGATCTTCATTATTGGCATCCTGCACAGCATTCATGAAGCAGATACCATCACCTTCATCATTCCAGCTTCCGGTAACCTCATATGCAGCTGCTGCAGCTAGCTGTGCTTCGGATGGACCCCAGGTCTCAGTCATGTCTCATTTTCAAGAGATCATGCATACTCAGGCCTGCCACGTCACACACAGCTGGCATAATGACTCACGTTGACAGTCAAGCTGGTAGAGGAGGCCTGGATTGTCACCTGCATATAATCAGACCACTGTGACAGAGAGAGAACTGCAGTGAGACTTACCTGCATCCATGTAAGCCCTTTCATTGCTTGTCCACTCCTCCACAAACCACTCTTGCAGAGAACACCTTTCTTCCTGCAACCGCTCCTTCTCCTCATTGCAGCGATCTAGTAAGAGGCAATTCTTGATGCCTTCATGAACAGTCTCATCACCGAGCCAACGTGGGACCACGTGATGTCATCATTATCATCGAGGCTGACATCTTGCCAAATATCATCATTGACATCAAGCTTGAAGAGGCCGTTGTCTTGAATCGGCTGCAGTGACACTGCATATTGTGGGGCCTTGCGTTGCTTGATGAGAAGGTCCATCTGCTTGCACAAGTTGTTGTAGGTCTTGGCCAGCTTGAGGATGCTGGGCTTGTGATGCTTGATTGATGACTCAGCATGAAAGCTGAGCTTGTTATCTCAACATGTCATCAGTTATTAGACTGAATCCAACATGTGGAGACTTACTGTTGACCGTTTAATGATACGAGCATTCGAGCCGCTCGAGCTCGAACTTGTGCTGATGGAGACAGTTGCGGATGCACTGCTTGACTGCACGCACATTTATACACAGCTTCAAAAAGGCATTGTTGATCAAATGTGAGACCTGCAGCTGCTCACTGACTCCTAATGCAGTCTTCTTATGTTGCAAGGCTTGCTTGACATTCACTCTCGATGCTGAATATATCATCATCATTCCCAAGTAACTTGAGTTCCAGTAGGCACATGCTCTCCTTGTATATGCTGATGAAGGGATGCATAGCGCCCTCAGGTGGGAATCACATCCGCGAAGCGGTCTCACATTTCGGAGATACTACAGGGTGCTACATAACTGACCCTAGTCTGACACCAATTGGAAGCTGGTTATCGGAGGAGGGAACACTATGAGCTCAAACACTACTTCTAACTCCTCGACTACGATCTGCAACCGTCTTAAAGTATCCATCATTGTCAGTTATAAAGAATAATCTTTAGTGCTTATAAGTTACAATTAAGGCTGAAATCCGGGTTTAATAAGCAGGTCATGTACAAGGATAATCTACTGAGGGATTATCTCCTCAGTAGATTATCTTTTTGAAGTAGTCTAAGCTAATCTGATGATAATCCAAAGGGATAATCCTAAAGATCATCTAAAGGATTATCCAAAGCCAAAATTGATTTAAAAACTTGCACTCAGCCAGGATTAAACTCTCAACCTCAGAAGAAAGTCACATGACCAAGAAACTTCAGACACTTTGACCACTACTCCATATAACCTTAACAGTTTACACTCATGCATAATATATATAGTAAATTTTGCTGAAAGGACTTAGACAAATTCTGCTCATCACAAAAGTAGTGACTGAGTTAGACATAAGAAAAAGGATGTTTCTAGTCACTTTAGGGTACCCTTCAGACCTAGCTCTTAGCTTTAACATAACTTGTAGTGTATTGTAGCTAAGGGCTTCTCAGATGACTGACTGACCATTGTACTAACACATGTTCCAGGGCATTATATGTGACTATCCAGTATAGATATGATATAGGCTGGTCCATCTTATAGTACTAGTGTATTTACTAATTGTTCTATAATGTCAGGTACATAAGATGTCCCACTGTTCACTTTAGAGTACTTTTTATCTCTAGCTCTCAGCAACAAAATGTTCTATAGTATGTCATTGCTAAGTGCCTCTTAAGTGCAGTATGATCATAGTATCAATACATGTCTCAGAGCATTAAAAGATTGCTCAGGCCATAGATAGGATGTAAGCTGGGCATATGTGATGAATCTTGTGAGGGATATCTTACTAAGCTAGAACATTGATACTCTGAAGTAAACAGTGGGACATCTTCTGTACCCCTGACATTATAGAACAACTAGTAAATACACTAGTACTATAAGATGGACCAGCCTATATCATATCTATACTGGATAGTCACATATAATGCCCTGGAACATGTGTTAGTACAATGGTCAGTCAGTCATCTGAGAAGCCCTTAGCTACAATACACTACAAGTTATGTTAAAGCTAAGAGCTAGGTCTGAAGGGTACCCTAAAGTGACTAGAAACATCCTTTTTCTTATGTCTAACTCAGTCACTACTTTTGTGATGAGCAGAATTTGTCTAAGTCCTTTCAGCAAAATTTACTATATATATTATGCATGAGTGTAAACTGTTAAGGTTATATGGAGTAGTGGTTAAAGTGTCTGAAGTTTCTTGGTCATGTGACTTTCTTTTGAGGTTGAGAGTTCAATCCTGGCTGAGTGCAAGTTTTTAAATCAATTTTGGCTTTAGATAATCCTTTGGATGATCTTTAAGATTATCCTCTGGATTATCCCTTTAAATTATCCTTTGGATGATCTTTAAGATTATCCTCTGGATTATCCCTTTAGATTATCTTCAGATTAGCTTAGAATACTTCAAAGGGATAATCCTCCAGTAGATTATCCTTGTACATGGCCTGCTTATTAAACCCGGATTTCAGCCTTAATTGTAACTTATAAGCACTAAAGATTATTCCTCATAACTGACATCACTGAAGTACCATCTGCCAACTTATGTCTACCGGTGATTCCACGCATGACATCGTACAGTTCACGGGCCACATTGCGCAATGTCTCAACCCGAAGGTGCAAGGTTCCTGATGGCAATAAAAAGCTGAGGAACATGATTTCAGGAAAAATATAGACAGGACGACCGCGCACCAATGTCAGGGAGACCATCCGGCGGGTGCCCTAAACTGAAGTCCTCGCAGACAGCGAGGTCATCGTACAGAATGCGGGCAGTCAAACTATGAGGAATGACCGCAGGAAGGTGGTCTGGAATCTGAGGTATCATCCGATAACCACCTTTTATAGTGCGAGCTGTCGCAAGGTGTATCTCCACTTGGGCCAGGACAGGGATATCGCACGGGATGGGTAGGATGATCCTCACACTGGCTGCCTCAGACTGAGCTTGGACCATGAGGACCTGAGGGATGTGTGAGGGTCGGACAGTGAAGGAACGTATAATTGCAGGAGCCTCACCAGCAGGATGTGCATCCGGACTGCCCATGCTTTCCACAGGATTGGATCAAAGGGCTTAGTAAAGATCTCAATGCGAAGAAGTGCTTCCATGAGGGTGTATTTGCGAAGGATGATGCTGGCGTCCATGGATGGGAGATTGAGTTCAGGATAGAAGATATGCCTCCGAGGCAGGTGGGTGCTTATTAGGCACTCGGGCGAGACCGGTGATAGATGACCCCTCAGATTGAGTAGGAGCGTGAGGGGACGGGATTGCGAGATATGGCGTGAGGGGACGGGATTGCGAGATATGGCGTGATGGGCAGTGGTTCAGCAGAGCCATTCTTAAGCAGATGCATGCAGTATCGGGAGGGCAGGAAAGGTCAGGACCAGTTTTAAGTATGATGGCAGGAGAAGAGGAAAGGGGAGAATCCACCATCCCAGAAGGTATGCTTGCAAAAGCCTCATTCACATTCTCATCCCATTCAGTTAGTGCGTCTTTGGGCAGTCTTGCATTTGTGCATTTTCTGGGCAGTTTTACATTTCCGCATTTCAGCATTCTCCTTAGAGCAGTGCAATTTTACTCCGACGTGTTTCTAGCGATTATTGCGACTAGAGAGATTTTCCTAGCTATGCTTTTGGGCTACCCACCTCATACTTCTGGAATAGACTCTTCTCCTTCATTGCATCTCAGACCCCACGCGAACTTGATTCTGCTCATACTCCATCTTTCCGGCTTGTGATGGAACTACAATCTCGTCAACTGGAGCCCACCGCGAGGGGTCTTTGTGCAATATGGCAGAGCAATCACCTTGCTTTCAGATCGTTCCAAGAGGAGCTTACCTTAGCAGCTTCCCAGCCGCTGACCCTGGGGTCCCCAGCATTCACGGGTCCACTTCTCGACAATTTCGCATACCGACCACCTATCAACTTTGATGATCCGAAGAACTCATTTGTTGATGCCCGTCTTCCGATTCCCTCTTCCTCGAGATCTCGCGAATTGTCTCCCCTTTTACCACTTCCGGAGGACATCTTACTTATTCCATCTCATCCCTCATCCCCAGCTTTATCACCACAACAGCTAGACGCGACAGCCATGGTGAACCAGGAACCAGCCCCCAGACCAGTCTTGATGCCAGCACGTGGTCACTCAATGGCACCCACCTTTGATGGATCCCCATGAGCCTTGATGTGATATTTCGCTGATCTTGAAGACTTGGCGACACGAGCACAGCTGGACGATGATGCAAAAATCCGAGCAGCTTGCAAGTACATCTCATTGGACGAGGTGGATCTTTGAATGGGTGTCATGGAGCGGGAGACGTACAAGCAAGACTGCAGTCATTGCACTGTACCCAGGAGTGGAGGATGACCATCGCAATATGCAGTCCGACTTAACCCAGATTGTATGGGCAGCACGGACGAGAGGAGTGTCCAGTCACGTGGAGGAGGGACAGTACTATCAGGATTTTACTCATGTCACGTTGTTCTTATTGTTCAGGGGTCGACTATCAGCCTATGAGTGGGACCGGCTGTACCTTGAGGGATTCGAAGCATCCTCCTTACATGCCATCAAAAATCGACTGGTGATTAAGGTTCCCGATCAGAATCCAGACAATCTGTACATGATATCGGAAGTCCATTCTGCAGCGCAGCATGTTCTCAGTGGGAGTGAGAGTGCATTGAGCACTGTGGCAGTGTCAAAGCCGAGTGCAGAGACAGTGAAGTTGGAAGGGAATGAGACAGATGCGATGCAGTTTCTAGTGAACGTGTTGCAGCAAGCGATGCGAACATCGGGAGGGGGACAGGCACCGATAATGCAGGCCAACATTCAGGTGGCAGTCGCACAAAACCCTCTTCAACAAGCACTCCATGCCTGTAACTTCTGTCTAGCTATCGACCATTTTATGCAAAACTGTCCGCGCATCAAGAATTACATCAGGGTGTGGAAGATTAATTGTGATGCGCTTAGTAGGATCATTCTCCCGAATGGACAGTTCGTTCCTCATGACCTACCTGGACATAGCATGGCAGAGCGCATTGATGCATGGCATGATATGTATCCTGGGAACCTTTTTGGTGATGGTCCAGGGCCATCCGCAGCACCTCCACCCAATGTTTCCAGGGATGGGCGTGACCAGCCTCTGCATATGGTTAGCATATGGGAGATTGTGAAGGAGGCCCTTAACCCCAAGAAACCATCCTCTGCATACATTGAGGAATGTCTCGATGACTCTGCAGCATCAGTACTAGAAGCCAGCATGGCTCTGAAGAAAAAGACAGTTCAGTTCGATGACAGCACCGCAGGGAAGTCTGCAAAGCATCCTCCCAGTGTTCCGGCCTCCCAGATTCCCGCTTCAATCCTTAAGCTGGCGTCAGATCCATCTGTGACACTGAAAGGGGGTGCGAAGGCATCTTTTGCATCTTCGGGAAACTGGGCTATGCAATACAGCTACAAGACACCGGTCGAGGACAAGGTGAATGTGCGGGATATATTCAAGAGTGTCCAAAAAGAAGTCCGCATCTCTCACTAATGCATCAGGAACTGATGGCATTGTGCTCAGAGATTCGTAAGCTTGAGAAGGAGGAGATTACTGTGAAGCGAGTGGCGACGATGGGAAGCTTCGAGGGTGCGGACGGCGAGGAGGTTGCGGAGGCTCTCTTAGTGGACGTGAGTGATGGCGGCGGACCACTCGTGGTGGTGGACGATTCTCTCTCATTGCGAGCAATTGATGCCCTGGTTGAAGGCAAGGAATCAGCGAAATGTATCCTTGACCAAGGCTTGCAGATAATCGCAATGTGATGGGACATCTGGGAATGCATTGGGTCAGCGCTGCAGTCTGAGAAAACCCTCAACATGGAATCAGCCAACATGGGTATCAATCAGACGCTCAGATGCCTCGCTAACATTCAGTTCAGGTTTGGCGAGATGGATTTGTATCTTCAGGCCCATGTTCTAAATGATGCCCCATTCGAGGTACTCTTGGGCCGGCTGTTCTTTATCTTGATGGCATGCAAGATGCTCGATTTCACCAATGGTGAACAACACATTACTCTGCGCGACCCTAACACGCATCAAGTAGTCACACTTCCCACTCACAAGCGTCACCCGAAGCCACGGCCAATGCCACCTCCAGGAATGGGTTTTCAAGACTCGAGGAGTCAGGCTTGATCTGAGGAGGGTCGACAATGAACAGGCACCAGCATGCCAGTGATACCCTTAAAATGACGGGACATATCGGGGAGCAGTCTCTTGTGGATGGTAGAGCTCCCCATGTTCCAGAATTAGCGTCTTCAGTTTCCTCTCTCTCTTCCTCTGCAGCTCTGGTTTTCTCTCTCTCTTCCTCTGCAGCTCTGGTTTCCTCTCTCTCTTCCTCTGTGGCTCTGGTTTCCTCCCTCCCTTCCTCTCAAGAATTATTTCCTCACATTGTTTCATTGCAAATCAAAGAGCCCTGCATTCTTTATACCCTTTCCTCATCTTTTTGCAGTATCGGAGCGGTCAGTAGTGTGACCACACCTGCAGTGGCCTGGTGCATTCCAGATAGAGCACGAGACCGTAGTCCATGGTTATGGATATAAAAAGGTTGTCAAGCGTGTCAAGCCTGTTCCAGAAATACTGGCCGATGAGTTTTGGATCATGCAGTGCATTCCCGGTGACCCCATGCAAAACCTCCCATCACTCCCCTTTCACCCGCCAGACTTCATTGGTGGATCATGTTGAGGAATGACGGTGGGACCTTAACATCAACAGGGATGGGTTTCTCTGGGAGGAGGAGGTGAAGCTGTTTGATCATATCCTCTATCTCCATGAGCAAGTGTTTGCTTGGGATGAGTCCGAAAAAGGCAAATTTAGTGACAAATATTTCGAGCCAATCCGAATTCCCTATCAGCAGCATGTCCCTTGGGCATTGCACAACATCTCTATTCCACTGGGGATCCGCGAGCAAGTTATTCAAGTCATTCGCAATAAGATCACATCGGGTGTATACAAGCCATTGAACTCATCTTACCGATCATGCTGGTTCTGCATCCTGAAGAAGGACGAGAAGTCACTACGTTTGGTACATGATCTCCAGCCACTAAATGCTGTTGTGATTCGTGATTCGGCAGCACCGCCGCAGATCGAGGATATAGCGGAGGCATTGGCGGATGCTCTTGCTATGCGAGTTCTGACCTGTTCATCACGTTCGACCAAAGGACTCTTCACCCAGACTCCTGTGACCTGATGACCTTCCAGAGCCCACTTGGAGTGCTCCGCCTGACCACCATTCCGATGGGATATACCAACTCAGTCCAGATCATGCATGGCGACGTGACCTTCATCTTGCAAAAAGAGATACTGCATGTCACAATTCCCTACATCAACGACGTCCCTGTAAAGAATGGGACAACACAATACGAGACATCTGATGGAGGATATGAAGTCATCCCTCAGAACTCCGGAATACGTCACTTCATCTGAGAGCATGCAGAAAATGTCAACTGCGTGATTCATCATCTGGAGATGGCTGGTGCGATGCTGTCAGGAAAGAAATGCATCATTTGCAGACCGGAACTTGAATACCTTGGCGGGTTGTACAACTATGAAGGTCGGTGGTCTTTGCCATCTCACATACAGAAGATTGTCAATTGGCCAACATGCACGACTGTCACAGAGGTCTGTGGATTTCTAGGGACTTGCGGGCTCGTTCGGGTCTTTATCAAAGATTACACGAAGATGGCGCGGCCTCTGACTACCCTGATGTGTAAGGAGACAGAGTTTAGTTGGGGTGATGAGGAGGAAGCAGCCATGGCGCAGATAAAACAGGCTGTACAGTCCTGTGGGGTGCTGGTCCCAATTGACTATGCCTTATTGTGCAGCATTATCCTCGCAGTCAACTCATCAAACATTGCAGTCGGTTTTGTCCTTTTTCAACTTGGCGAAGATGGGAAATGTTGCCCAAACTGTTTCAGATTCATCACTTGGAATGAGCACAAGTCCCAGTACTCACAAGCGAAGGTCGAATTGTATGGTCTTTTTCGTGCTCTCTGCGCAGTTCAGATCTACGTCATTGGGGTCGCAAACCTCGTCATAGAAGTCGACGTGAAATACATCAAAGGAATGTTAAATAATCCCGACATCCAACCCAATGCTACGATCAACCATTAGAGTGCTGGTTTCCTGCTATTCAACTTCCGCCTCGTACACAGGTTCACACCACACTGGGGCTGACAGTTTATCATGTCGGCCCCGCGCGAACGAAGACCCCAAGGAGGATGATGACCTTGAGCAGTGGTTGGATGAAGCTAACACCTTCACTATTGATACCACGAATTCCGGGATAATGTGTGAAGGGTGGTGCACCTGTACTCTGGGGACTGTCTTGACTGCCTTGAGTCCTAGGACACCAGATGTCACAGTCTACACCTCGGCCCCGGAAGACGTTGAGATACCGCGAACGACCAAGGCCATGGCTAGGAATTCACACATTCTCAAAGTCTGCGATTTCCTACATGATCCCGAGGTTGCTATGAGCGTGCCAATAAAGGACCATCATCAATTCCTCAGATACATCGGACTTCTTCCTCAGGGATGGGAATTCTGGTGAAAAGACCCGAGTGGCAGGCACAAACTATTTGTTGATGAGGGAAGACGCTACACACTTATCCGACAGGCACATGATAACCTCGGCCACAAGAAAATTTTTACAGTGCAGACACGCTTACTGAAACACTTTGGTGGCCGCTCTTACACCAGGATGTATGATGATATGTGGGCACATGCCATGAATGCCAGGTCCACCAGATGACAAAGGTGCACATTTCACCAACGGTTGTGCTTCCTTCTGCACCCTTTCACAAGGCGCACATGGACACGATGCTCATGCCATGGGCAGGAGGGTACCGATATATCGTACAAGCACACTGCTCACTTACATCGTATCCCAAATGGCAGATGCTCCAACAGGAAAATGGGTGGACCCTTGGTGCATTCATCTTCGAAGAAATCCTTTGTCGCTGGGGGGCAGTTGTGAAAATTGTCACCGATAACAGTTCCATTTTTGTTCAGGCATTAGACTATTTGGCTCAGCAATACAAGATTCATCATATGCGAATATCCCTGTACAATTCTCAGGCAAACAGGCTTGTAGAATGCTGACATCTGGATGTGCGAGAGGCTGCAATGAAAACATGTCTGGGAGACGAGCGAAAGTGGCCTACAGTCATGCCTGCAGTTTTCTGGGCTGAGCGTGTCACGATTCAGTAATCCACGGGATACTCCCCATATTACATGATGCATGGAACTGAACCTTTGTTCCCCTTTGACATCGCAGAAGTGATGTACCTGGTTTCATACGAAGGAGTGCAGATGACCTGGATTGAATTTTTGGCACACCAGGCCTGTTGGCTACAAAAGCGGAAAGAGGACTTGGAGGAAGTACATGAGCACAAGTCGATGGAGCAGTTTGCACAAGACTTTCATATGACAATTAAGTCTTACGACTTCAAGCCGGGTGATATAGTGCTGGTTCGAAATTCCCAAATTAATATGGAGCTCAACTGTAAGACAAAGCCACATTACTTGGGACCCATGGTAGTTGTTCGATGAACCGATGGCGGATTATACATCCTCACGGAACCAGACGGTGCAATGTCTCAGCTATAGTTTGCAGCTTTCCGCGTCATTCCTTACAAGTACTGAACTCGTGCCGATCTCCACTTCACCCCGTTGTCCGATGCAGATGAGATGGACAGTGCTGCAGGATCAGATGATGAGGCTTGACATCAGCATGTATCTATTCCAGTTATTTCCTCAAGAATTTTAATTCTTGTTTAATTGATTATGAGATTCCTTGAGAACACTCCATCTCAACACATTGAATATTGTACAAGTTCTAATTCCAGAAGTGAGTTTCGCGGAACACAACAAAAAATATCATACACTATTGTTGGAATTCAGCCCATGGATCTCCGATGCCTCGCAGTCCTCTCACATCGCAGCTCCTAATCCTCCCCATCGAAATCGTTCATCACCACTGCTGCGCGAACCTGTACCGGGATCGAACGTGCCTGTCGAGATGCTGTGCATGACTTCTTCCTCCTCCTTGGAGGGAAACTCGTCATCTGAACCCTCCAACTCTCTGATGCATTTCTCCAACTGGAACAAAGCCTGTGTCACCTTGCGGTGGTTAGAAGGAATCGCGCTGATGCAAGTGGCAAGGACACCGTAGCGAGCAGCGAACAGAGCAGGATTGCCGCTAAGTGCGCCCATGTGGCATCCAGCTGTGAATGCATGGTGTGTTGGCTATCCTCGAGGGAGCGTATGCACTGCCAGCTATGCCAAAGTGCAGCCTCGAGTGTCGCGACTTGTTTACCCGGTTGCAATAATCGAAAGTTGGGCAGAAGGACGTCTGCAAAGTATGTGCTGGATGTTGGGGGACGAGGTGGATCATCGAGCAATATCATCAAGTGATATCGTCAGAACCTGCAGACTGCCAAGACTTCCCTGGGATCCAGTGCACTTGATCGAGGATGATGCATGGTGAAGGGATCACGTGGAGGGCTGCTGACTGAGTGAGCAGTCAGATGGGCATCTGGGAAGGCCAGCAGTGATGCAAGGAGGGGGCGAGGCATATGATACATCCATCAGATCGGCCGTGATGACTTGCGAGCGCGAGGGCGCACTCATCT